ATTCCTGAGAAACAGTGTTTGTTCCTGTTGCAGTGAAATTATATTCTTTCTTTGTAGATATTGTTGTTTTTCATGTGTTAAAAATACTGAAGTAGAAGGTGCTTCACAACAGCTCTGATTTTCCTTTGGCACATTCATACTAAAGAAAAATGAAGACTGACCTCTATTTACATGTACTTCAGGATCTTGCTGTTCCCCTTCTGCAGGTGGAGAGTCTTTTGCTGTAAGATTATGTATAGCAGTTGTATATTAGCCAGCAAAATTAGGTAACACACAGAAATACTATGGTGCAAGGTAGTCATCAAAGTCACAGTTATTTAACTGATCAAGTCTAAGGTATTGGGAGTGTGAGCTTTTGGAAAGAAAATCTATTGAAAGGCTTTCTGGAAAGTGAGACTAGTCCATTTATCAGTGATTGGGTTTTTGATGAATGTTATTGACCCTTGTTACAAATCTTTTGTGGTCTCACTTTTTTTTTTCTTTTGTTGTTAGCTAACATGCATATTCATATGGTAACTATGTGTGCACTCATGCCACTTTGTTTTCATACATTAAGTGTTTTACCTCTTTTATGTTTGTAGACCGCACATATATCCTGTTTATCTTGATGTGGATAAATAGGGAGGTCATGGTATGCTTTGCCACAGTCATTCTCTGCTCCAGAAATGGTTTCATGTAATTTCTCTTTACTCCTGTTCTTCAAGGTTCATATTTTACTGCTAATGCTATCTTTTTCTGCATAGTTACCTGTTCCTGGATGTTTTGCACTTTAGGTTTGGTCTATGCATTTTGCTGCCAGGTGTACTTGGCATTCTCTAGTCTCTTCTTGCTGTGTTGTTTTGGAAAAGGTCTTTTCCCGTTTATCTCCTAAGGAAAGTGATTCTCTTGGTGGCATAATTTCAGCTCTGTCATACCTACAACAGGTATATTCTTACAAGACATGAAAACACTTGCTGTTATCTGAGACAGAATAAAAAGGGCTTACAAATGGATGACATAAGCCCTGGCGCCTGTAAAGCCATCAAAATCACTTGAATACATGGGAAGGACTATGTGTCAGAGTTGGATACAAGTCCATAACTTCTCCAAATGGTCACTGATGCCAAGTTTCCAGACTGGTTCTCCCTCTCTGCCCGTTATATCCTTCCAGTTTGGAAAAAAAATTAACCAAAAAGATGGTTACAGATGTAACCACTACTTTACCACACATTGTGTCGCACTTAGTCTGATACACACCCGCCCTTCCATGCCCCCCAAAAAAAGAAAAGTTCAAGAAGTCCTTTCTCCCCCCTCTCCTTGGTGGCTAAACCAATAATGCTAATAGCGATATTTGTGTAGGAGATAGTGGAAGTCTATGCAACCCCATCTCAGGACTGAGTCTTCCATCATCATAGGTCTGGTTCAGACCTACGGTCTGGTTCTGCAACAGATCCTCTAGGACAGGCCTGTCTTGCCTTGCTGTCTCCAAAACACAAGTCTACATCTTGACTCAGATGAAGGCCTGAAGCTGTTCTTTCTTTTCTTGTCTTAGGTGTCCCATGGGTCCTGACACGGTGTTCATAGATTCAGGAATGAGTTGTGTTGTTTGATACCATCTGTCTCAGAACTGTGTAGCTGGGAATTTTATCCAAGAGTGACTCTTCACTGCAGTAATTTTCTCTTAGAATGTGCTTGTCAGAAAGGCCACCTTTAACCTTAATTGCCTTACTTATACTGGAGCACAAATTCTCTCTATTTTGAAGTTGTTTTGGAGGTGGTAAGAAAATCTGGCAAAGTCATAAAGAAATAATTAAAAACTTCCATCCAAAATTTATCCAGAAGTTGTGGTATGTTTACCCTCCCTCCACCAGTTTCAGTGAGTGATAATGCTGCCCTTGCAGTGGTTCTAGTTAGTCTTGTGACTGCATCAAGGGCACTGGGTCTGTACTGGCTTGCTTGTGTGTTCCACATCTGATTCTTTGAAAGTGAACACCATCAGCAGAGCTGATGTTCCTCTGCCTTTGGTTTTCTAGCTGGAAACATTTGATAGTTCTATCAAGTGAAGAATCCAGTTGATCAGTAGTTCTTTCTCAACAAGGTAGCTTGTAAGTCTCTATGTTCTCTTAAGAGCAGCTCTCCTTAATGGATAAAGCAGGTCTTGTCTTTCCTTTAAGTTAGAAAGCTGGCTTTAGCAGTGGTGCTGCTAGATTTACATACCAATCCTGTGCAAAACTTAAACATTTTTTTTTCATTTTTAGGTTTGGTAAAACCCACTTTCTTCTAATCATTCATTTCATAAGAGAGTACCTCCTCTAAGGGGCTGAATTTTCATTTCTTTCTCTCTTCTTTCCACTTACTGTTTAAATGGTGTAGTTACAGTTAATGTGAATATGAAAAATATAGCCAGGCTCTTCTAGCAAAGAATATGATTAAGAGAATTACAGCTTTCTGGGGAATAGCTTAGTTATAAGCAATTTCAAAGGGGTAACTACCTTAGGCCTAAATAGAGTTCTCCTACCAGCTGGGACTGCTACAGATAGGAGTTACTACATAGCCATTCTTGATTTTGTAAGGAACAGAACAGCTGAGTTGTTTCTGTTGTGGTGGTTTCCTTCTCCCTTCCCCCTTCCCTGTTGCCCTAAGGCTGTATGCCTGGCATTTAACTGAATTGCTGCAATAGTTTCTGCAGAAAGATGATTCTGTTCATAGAAAACCAAGTGCCATTCAAAGGAACAGAACTTCTAAGTTCCACACTAAACTGGAGTCACAATTCTTGATAAACTCAAATATTTAAAAGGCTTGTGGTGCTTGTTTAAGAGCCCTATCCACATGAGTGAGGAAGAGACCAGTTTTACCAATGCTGACCTTCAGTCACTACCAACTTTTGTGGCATCCAGTTGTGGTTACATGGCTTTTGCCTGCTAATCATAGGATCATAGAATGATTTGGGTTGGAAGTGACCAGAAAGATCAGCCTTTTCCCTGGATACAGCATTGTTTATGGGTGTGTTCCTATTTCTAGCACTTAATGTTTGGCTGATGATACCCCTCTCAGTTTTTATATCTATCAACAGAGAAGTTTAAATTAAACCTTCAGGTAGTACCTGCATAAGTCATAAAGTACACTGTGGTTATTTTTTCTAGGGAACCAGATGCTTTAGTAAGAGGGATCATCTGTTTACTTTCAGCTTTAACACAAGCTGTGGAATAACACTCTCTCAGCTCTTTCAGATCTGGAAGGAGTCTGAGGTCTTTTTGTTTCTCAGCCCAAAAGATTATAATCAAGTCTGTGTCTGTTCTGTGTAAGGTGAGTGTTTTTATGATCCATAAAAATTCACATGGATGTCTTGTCTTTGCTATAAAGAGCCTGCCTGAAAAGTAGCATGAGGTAGGATGCACTCTAAGTGAGTTACATGCCCAGCCTGATTCTGATAATTTAGGTAGCCAGGTGGCCATTACTATTAGTGAGGATTTCTGAAAGCTTTACCAAGTTCCTGGACCTGTGCAAGGAGAAGTTAAGAGTATTTCTAATAGATTTATTAATTCTTTTTCTCAGTTCTTAAAATGTAATTTTACTAGAACAGATTTTGTCATTGTTGATGAACAGGAAGACTTTAACCTGATGGACTTAAGTTTCCAAGTACATTAGGGTTCTTGTTGTCCATTAATGCTCTTCAAAAAAAAAGCTTTTTGGTTGATCCTTTTGTGTGTCTGATTGATCTTTAGTAGTATTATGTTAATCCTTGCTTCCATATTGGTGCACCATCTTTCTGTGGGTTTCCCAGGCTTCTCTTCCCAGGCTTTCACTTTACTGAATTTAATGTTTTTTTTTCCTGGATTTGTTGAGAATGCT